ATGATTTCTTTCTTATCTTCTGTTTTTAGATTTGTGTGCAAGACATGAACAACCATGTAATTTATTGTAGAATTTGAAATGTCATTATTTACTTGAGAATAGATTTTTTATTGAGTAATGAAACATATTTAAGACCATCCCTGTTTTTGTCTCAAACCTTCACATAAACTTTCATTCAGGCAGCATTATCTTGAACAGAGGAAGAAGTGAACTGAAGATGCAGTAATGACGTGTATTACCATTTCTTTCTGCGGGAACAAACTCCGCTGTCACTGGCCAGCATGATGTTTTGTTCCTTGACTATCTCATATGCAGAGGAAACAGCACTTTGTAGGATCTGAGGTTTTCACAGCTGTGAGTCCGAAGATGGCTGTCTTCTGGGTTGTTGCACCCTGATGATGGAGGCAGCAAGGACCTCTGAAACATCGGTAAACTTCTACCAGACTACACGTCGTAACAACCCAGAAGGCAGCCATCTTCGGAACAGCGCTACTTTGTAAATACACCGTGAAGTCTAAGCAGCTGCTTGATGGACCTAAAATCACATATGACTGGCAGTGATGTTGCTTACATTTTATCGCATTCATTATATGGGACTTGCCCCGGCAAGTTCTTGTTAAAAAAAAACGGGCCACAAGTATTGGTGATTTTTTGTTATCGTTTTGTTACAGAACAGCTTTAAACTTGCTTTATAGGAAACAGTAAATGGCTACTGTTCTTCAGCTCTGTTTTCAAATCTCGATTTTTCCGCAGTTCACGTGTGTGTAGGCACACGCGAAGGGAATCCCACATACTATAAAATGGCAGCAGTTTCTGATTTCCTTTTGAATATGGAAATCCTGTCTTCGGTCAGCGAATTCCCTTAATGCAACGTTGATACGAATAGTTCTGCTTGCTGCTTTTACACACTTAGGTCATGTGCTGGATCATTCAACTCACTCTCTCGAATAGACGTGGTTTCTGACAACTTTATGGACTCTTGTCTTGGATTGCAAGAAGTCGATATAAAAAGTTCCCTCAGTTAGTTCCTTATACAGGAGGAGGAAGGTCTCCATGTAATATTAGCTTAATTTCAGAAGGAACATGGATATATTTTTTTGTTTTTGCTCTGCAAATCATCTTTCACTTAACATCATATTGAATCTGTTATTTAAGCCTGTTTTTTGAGAAGAGGTCCTCCATGTCCCAAAATAAGCATAAAAATATGTGTTTCACTTTCTTTCTACCCATGTTGACAACTGGCACTGCACATCATGTTGGTAGCAACACAGTATTTGTGTCCACCGTAGTGGAATCTGCATGAAGTAGTTCATTCACCCGCGTGATTCAGACTTTGTCCTTAAAAGACGTGCTGTTTGAGATCCAAAAAGAAAGGGGGTGGGGTCATTTGATGTACCAGCTCATATCAAAAGTTTAAAATTGTACATAATCTGAAGCAAAATGGAATATTTGCGATAAATGAAACCATGCAGTCAATGTTTGCAGAAGTTGAAACTTGCAAATTGTTTATTTTGAAATAGGGGTATGAGTATGACTAGTGTGCGGATAAATATGTTTTTTTTTTATGGTTACTCGTCTGTAATTGTATTGTTTGCAATGTTTTGAGGTGTTGGTGGTGAACTGGAAAAGATCACAGGGTGGAAGCTGTCGTAGTCTAGTGCAAGTTGCAGTCCCAGCAGCTTCAGGATAGCTATTTCTTTCAGATGCAGATCAGGCAGTGGTACAGTCCATAAGCTGTTGGTACATTTCAGCGTCTAATGGATAGCAGAGTTCTTGCAATCCAGAGGAGCATATGTAATAGAGTAACGTTCGTCAAATGTTCGTAATTCAGTGTTGTTGTTTTTTAATTACGCTTAACACGTGTTCTGTATAGTCATGTGTACTTATAGCTGGATTACCTGTGTTATGTTTCAGCTGTGTTTTTACCAGCACTTGTAAACCCCGATGAATGCAGGAGTAAGAGCAAAGATCTCAACACGCCATTGTGCCTTGCGTGGAGCAGCTCTGCGAGGAACCATTTCATCCCTCTGGTGGGAATTAGTGGAGGTGAGCAAGTACGTTTGTTCTACAAGCTACAAACGTGAAGCAG